CAGTTAAGACTAAACAATTATAGGATGAGATAATAATAATTTCAGATAAAGATAGGTAGTTATGAAAAGATAGCATGACAATCAGAGAGATAAAAATCTCCAATTAAGTTAAATAAGAGTAAAATAGGCAATAAGAGAGAATCATAAAGCAATTAATTCAAATTAAGCATGTAGAGGTGAAACTAGTAAATAGGAAACTCAATCATATCAAGAACAACTTCATACTCAGTGAATATAAGGACCTAAGAACCCTAAAAAGCCAACTTTCCACAAATAAGTCCGAGCACGCACTCGTCACCTCGCGTACACGAATTACAATCAACATAGAAGACTCAAATCCTAAGGGAAAATCCCCCGCACAAAGTTATGCAAGATACTTACCTCAAAGAATACAAACCGATACTCTAAAATGAACTTCTCGGGTGAAAAGACCTCCGGACAGCTCAAATCTAACCAAAATAAGTTCAAAGTACAAATAAAACTTATAAGAAACTATTCCAGATCATAAAGTCTCAATCTTTAAGAAAATTCAAAAATCGGTCCAAAAGTCGACCCCTGAGCCCACACCTCGGAACCCGACAAATTAAACAAAAATCAAATATTCATTCCGATACGAGTTCAATCAAATAAAAATTATCAAATTCCGATACCATTTCGCCCTTCAAATCATGAATTTTCATTTTGAAAACTTTCTTGAGAAACCAACATTTTGCTCAACTCAAAACACAAATTAAATGATAAAAATCAAGATAAAATCATGGCATATATTAAAAACTAGGTGAAGAACACTTACCCAATCGATTTAATTGAAAACCCCACAAAGAATCTCTCAAAATCGAGCTCTACAAGTCAAAATATAATGAAAATGGCCTAACCCTTGATTTGGAAAACTTATATTCTGCCCAGATGTTAAAGCATCACGAACGCGGAAGTCTACTCGCGTTCGCGAAGAAGGAAAAATGAGGGATGCCCAGATGTGCTTCACGAACGTGACAGGAGGATCACGAATGCGAATAGGAAAGTGAGGTTGTCCAGAAATAACACCTTCGTGAATGCGAGGGAAGGAGTGCAAACGAAGAACAAGGAACGAAAACTATGCGAACACGGGAGGCTAATCGCGAATGCGATTAAGGGAAAAACAAACCTTCGCGAACATGATAGGTTTAACACGAACGTGAAGAAGGATTTTGAGGTGGTCAGCAACAACACTTCGCGAACGCGAGGGGAACTTCGCGATCGCGAAGGAGGATACCAAAAAACAGAAACAACTGTTCAAAATAGGAGGAATTGGCCTATAGCCCATCCGGAACACAGTCGAGGCCCCCGGGACCCTGTCTAAATACACAAACAAGTTCTATAGCCTAACACGGACTTGTTGGGGTCTCAAATCACATCAAATAATGTTGAAAATGCAAATCGCACCATGAATAAAACTATGAACTTCCAAATCTTCCAACTTCGAAAACTCGTGCCGAAACTAACCAAATCAACTCTGAATGATGCCAAATTTTGTAGACAAGTCCTAAATGACTGTTGCTCCCAAACGCACACGCAAGTATATGTTGTCAACAAGTAATATAATGATAAGTTGAGTATCGAACCCACAGAGACTTGTATAAACTACTCACTAAATCACTAAAATTATTATTCAATCCAGCTAAAATCAAAATCCAATAATATGATTATATTATACTACGATTCTAAATAATAACTAAATTATCAAGTAACGAGTTGATTGTTGTGTATTCAGTAGAGACAAGTATTCTAGGGTTGTGATCGATTCACCATTCGTATTGTGTTCTAATTAACTCTCCCTTTCATATAATTCACTCATGGTTGTTAATTAATCGAGAAATGCTCTCACAACCTTCTCCCGAAGTACCACTCACCTATTCTCAATAAATTAACGCCTGTATTCCTATGAAATCAATCTATTAAGACACATTAAGATTACGATATTTAATTAAGCACGGTGATTAGGTATATTCCTATCCTAACCACAAATCCGCTCCCCTTAAGGGTTAAGATCATGCTCTCTTCAATTCTTCCCTAATCTAAATACGGATTTCTCAAGCATAGCATAGATAGTAAATAGAACTTAACTGCTGGCCAGACAATTAAGCAATTAAAAACAGAATTGAAGAAACAACCATATATTGGTGCATTATAATCAAGGTCAAGCTAATATCAAACAACAATATTCATGGCTAAATCACAACCCCAGAACAATGGGCGTTTATCCACTCATGATGTAATCAAACAATTGCGTAAGTGTTTAATCAACTAGAAATACTAGAAAAAGATGAAGAAAGCTGAGAATTCTCCGCTTCCTCATGATCCCTTGTGTATCTTTCCTCCCAAAGTGCGTCCTTCCCATCAAAAATAGGTTTCGTCTTGCTTTTATACATGGTGGGTAGGTCTAGGGCCGAGATAACCTTGTCCCAGGCGAAATTGGAGAAAATTCACATCACGGGTGCCCTGGCTAGCACCAGGCGCCCTCCATGGTGCTCCAATATTTTTAGCTACTGTTTTTGGCGCCACAGCGAGGTGGTGCCCAAAGTTGCAAGTTTCCCGGTTTCATTCGGTTTGGCTCAAATCTTGTGTGTTTCGCCCCCAATTGCTCTCGAATCATTCCTACACATAAAAACACTTCAAATTAATATAAATCAGAGCATTTAACATCCCAAATTAATGAAACAAAAGTAAAATATGAGGCGATATATATAGAAATATATATGCGTTAAGCTAAACACCAACACCTCACATTTAGACTCTTGCTCATCTTCGAGCAATGGGACAATCTACTACCCTCCAACTACGTACAATTATCAATTATAGAGGAGCACTTTAACTTTTAACCACACATTATACCCTTGACTATGATCAATACGGCACACAAGCATGAACACACAAAAATTCACATTCTTCCCACTTAAGCATGCCCAAGTATAATAATTCAATTCAATCAATTACAACAACCTAATTGTCACCACCCAACCTCAAAGGCCGACTTGCAACCACTAAGCCCTCTCAACTCACGCACTTACCCAACAAGAAAGTTTACAACATTACTAATCATTCATGAGATCATGTGCCCTCACCAACAACCAAAAGAGTGAATATAGATAATCCACATATTCAAATATACTTTTGAATATAGATTAAGGACATCGCACAATTGAACTAAATTTGCTCACTCTCACAAAGAGTTCATATGCATCCCATGGTTATACCATAAGTTTGTCCGTAGTGTATATCTCTACTAATTTAAGCTAGCCAAATCTAGGATCAATTAGGACTTTAAGGTTGTAATGTAGTCTAAGGACCGGGTATGGTACATTTAGAAATAGTGACTAATCCTCCTAAGCATTTTAATACACTACATTCACAATTCAAGCACATCTTCTTCTCAACAAATTCACTTGCCACAAACCATAGACAACATAGCCCTTTTTTAATTAAGCACTTCTATACTCCCACTAGCACAATCGATAATAATTGGAGGTGTGTGTTTTTCTACATTATTTGAACTATCATATTTTTTCTCTTTTCTTGCAATTTTTCTTTCTTTTCTTTCTTTCTTTTTCTTTTCTTTTCTTCACACACTCCATACTTTAAAGTTCATTATCTAGTGACCTTTTGATTTCAGCTTTAGTGCACCAACAGGCCCTTCCATGGTTCCACTCAAAAGCCACTCCTCAATATCTCACCTTAGTTCTTTTAGCGACTAAGTGCCTTAGGAGGTAAAGGTTCAATCAATATCCAATTAAGAACAAAATAGGGGTATGGCTTATAATGTGGGTGCCAAAAGAAAAGTCTATAGGCTCAAAGGGGATAGAAATGGAAAATTTTATTTTTATGTGACAAGCACATCCATGATCAAGCAAGAAAATGCCTACGTCATCTCCTAGATTAGCACAACTTACAATTTCACTTCAATTAACAAACAGGGCAAGTTCTAGACTACACTGGATAGCACAGAAAATCGCAAATCCTCACACACATGTTGCACATGACTCAATCAAGACGGTTATGTTCAACTCTCAAGTCAAGCAAGAACACATAATTGAGAAATTTAAGCAATATTGCACTATGTGTCATACGAGTCAAACAACTGAAAAAGGGCGTCACAAAATAGGCTATTTACTTTACTTAGGCTTCACAATTCAAACCAAATAAACGGGAAAACAAGATGCCTGTGCATCAACCATGTCAATGAATATCTCAAAGCGACTCAGTTTCTTTCTAAACTATCCTAAAAATATAAATAAAGTACACGATTCGAGCTACACCCTTGGAAAAGAACCGGTGCCCAAAGAAAAACCAAGGGATACTACCTAACTATCCTAAAAAATAAAAAAATCTTTATGGTGTTTTTAATCGGACTTTATCCCTCAAGAAAATTGTCCAACAAATCCATCGTTGGGAAAAGTCTGAGCTTTTTCTATTTTTTTTCTTTTTTCGTTTCTTAACTAATAAAAAAATTTATACAATTACACTTCAGAAAGTAGTTTCCCCACCCTCACACTTATATTATGAATAGACCTCGATGCATGATCCTAAAAAAAGGGTGAGAAATACTCCCTAAGACCCTTGCGGGCCTAGTTCGGACATGATCCTCAATATTAAGGGTCAGGACGACCCCATACTTAAGCTCAAACATGCTCCTTAGCTTCAATTTTGGGTACTCAAACTTCCCCTACTCTGCAAAATAAAAACAACACAAAACGTGACACTAAAAAAATAATCAATAAATAAAAGATATACAGGTTGGGTTGCCTCCCAACAAGCGCCTTATTTATAGTCGTGGTATGACTCTGCTACTCTGCTCAAGCTGGGCGCTTTCTCTTCTTCTGTCTCCCATGAAGTCTAGTATTTTTGCACGCTCTCGGAAGGTCTCCTCTTTCATCTATGGCTCTTTTCTCAATCATCTTTACATGCTCAGCTGGAAACACCACCTCCTCTAACTCCGTTATCCCATATGGATCACTATAATTCACTTACTGACTCTGCTCTATTCCCTTCAATTTGACCACAGTAATCATGCACAAGTCCTCATAATGCTTAGGGAGCTTAAGTGCATTGTACACATTAAAAGTGACCTCATCATCGTCAACTCTCATTTTTAACTTCCCTTCCCTCACATCAATAATTGCACCACCAGTAGCTAAGAATGGTCGCCCCAAAATAATGGGCACTTCCTCATCTACCTCGTAATCAAGAACAATAAAATCAGCAGGGAGAATAAATTTTCCCACTCGAACTAACACATACTCAATAATTCCTTCTGGCATGACTAGTGACCTATCTGCTAACTGTAAAGTGATTGTAGTAGATCTAAGCACAGCCAACCCAAGTTGCTTGAACAAAGAGGATGACATTAAATTTATACTAGCCCCTAAATCACACAGGGCTCTTCCAACTTCTTGTTTTCCAAGAGACAAAGGAATTATAAAACTCCCAAGATCCTTCAACTTAAGAGGAAGTTTACTCTGAACTCTGGAATTGCACTCTTCAGTAAGTGCAACTGTTTCGAACTCTGCATGTCTTCATTTGTTTGCCACAATATCTCTGAGATACCTTGCATACTTAGGCACTTCCTACAAAATTCCACCAAAGGCAAATTCACAGTTACTTGGCTCAAAATATCTAGGAATTTCTTGTACTTAGCATCATCTTTTTGCTTCTGCAGTCTTTGTGGAAACGGAGGTGGTAGCCTAGTCTCAATTACTGGCTCGGGTCCTTTATCATCTTTCTCATTCTCCTCAATTGGCTTGGGAACTAATTCTCCCTCAGGATGAGCTGTATTCTTCTTTTTCTTTGGAACTTCTTCTAATGCTCTTCCATTTCTCAAGGTAACCGCATTGACTTGAGTTTTAGATTGGGCTTCATATCACTAGGAAGAGCCCCTACTGGTCTGGTATTTTGGGCTATGGCAAGTTGGCCCACGTGGTGCTCTAAATTTCTCAGTGATGCGGCTTGAGCTTGCTGATCAGCCATTATTTTTTGATTGAAAGTTTGTTGATCTGCTATTAATTGTTGATTGAAAGTTTGTTGATATGCTATTAATTTTTGATTGAGGGCTTGCTGGTCGGCCATCAATTTCTCCATTATCTCCTCAAGGCTAGCTTGTTATTCAGCCTGAGGTGGTCTGGATTGTTGTTTAGGTGCTTGAGGCCGGTATTAATTCTGATTGCCTTGATTTCCACCCCAAGAGAAGTTTGGATGATTCCTTCAGTTAGGATTGTAGGTGTCCCCATACTGATTTGTTTGGCCTCGATTTGCGTTACCCATAAAATTTACAAACTCTGGATTTGCTGGGCATAGATTGCTCATGTGACACTCTTCACATACTTCACAATATATTTGAACTTGTTGCACTAGCTGGGCTTGTTGCTTGTTATTGATCATGGTCATCTGATTGACTTGGTTGGTTAGTGCAGAGACCTGTGCTGACAATGTTGAGACAACATCTAATTCAAGAACCCCTGGTGATTTTTGTACCATGTTCCTACCCATCTCTCCTTGCCAACCCGAATTGCTTTTGGAGAATTTGTTCAATAATGCATAAATCTCATCAAAGCTTTTCTCCAATACTTGACCTCCAACTGTAGCATCTACTACAATTTTTGTTTGGGGATGGAGCCCTTCTATGAAAGTGTGAACTAACACTTCATTCGTCTGATTGTGATGAGGACAGCCTCTGAGTAGCCCCTTGAACCTTTCCCAAACTGAGTATAAAGATTCTCATTCTTTCTGTTTGAAGGCAACTATCTCACTTCTGATTTTTGCAGTTTTGCCTGAACGGAAGAACCTTGATAGAAATTTTCTTGCCAAATCATTCCATGATGTAATGGAATTAGTTGGTTCTGCCTTTCGCCATCACTTAGCTTCACCCAACAGAGAGAATGGAAAAAGTGTGAGCCTCACATAATTTGGAGTGACCCCGTTAGTGTAATAAGTATCACTAATCTCCAAGAAGTTCATAATATGTTGTTGTGGATCCTCGTGTTGAAAACCCGTAAACTGCTAATTTGCATGAAGTAGCTGGATCATGCTCTGTTTCAACTCGAAATGCCCAGTGATTCTGGGCTTCACTATGCTGGAGGTAACATTAGCAATACTGGGCATTGCTACCTTCTGAACAGCCATATGTTGCTTCTCTGCCATGTTCACAGGAAATTGGATGAGTGTTTGAATATTGTTTGTATACCTTACTTCCCTCAACCTCCTATGAAATGTTTTCTCAGGTTTGGGGTCAAAGCCGTTGAGTCTCTCCTGGCTTCTGACCCTACGCATTCAAACAAAGTTTCTGAGATTAAAGCAATAATCGAGTAACATTAGACTAGACGAAATAAACAATTAAAGTAAAAACTAGAAAGTAGTTTATATTCAAGCTCCTGGCAGCGGTGCCAAAAACTTGTTGCTCCCAAACGCACACGCAAGTATACATGGTCGACAAGTAATATAATGATAAGTTGAGTGTCACACCCATAGAGACTTGTATAAACTACTCACTAAATCACTAAAATTATTATTCAATCCATCTAAAATCAAAGTCCAATAATATGATTATATTATACTATGATTCTAAATAATAACTAAATTATCAAGTAATAAGTTGATTGTTGTGTATTCAGTAGAGACAAGTATTCCAGGGTTGTGATCGATTCACCATTCGTATTGTGTTCTAATTAACTCTCCCTTTCATATAATTCACTCATGGTTGCTAATTAATCGATAAATGCTCTCATAGCCTTCTCCCGAAGTACTACTCACCTATTCTCAATAGATTAACGCCTATATTCCTATGAAATCAATCTATTAAGAACGCATTAATATTTCTATATTTAATTAAGCACGGTGACTATGTATATTCCTATCCTAACCATAAATCTACTCTCCCTTAAGGGTTAAGATCATGATCTCTTCAATTCTTCTCTAATCTAAATACGGCTTTCCCAAGCATAGCATAGATAGTAAATAGAAATAGAACCTAACTGTTGGCCAGACAATTAAGCAATTAAACACATAATTGAAGAAACAACCATATATTGGTGAATTATAATCAAGGTCAAGCTAACATCAAACAACAATATTCATGGCTAAATCACAACCACAGAACAATGGGTGGTTAGCCACTCATGATGTAATCAAACAATTGCATAAGTGTTGAATCAATTGGAAATACTAGAAAAATATGGAGAAAACTGAGAATTTTCCGCTTCATCACGATCCCGTGTGTATATTTCCTCCCAAAGTGTGTCTCTCCCATCAAAAATAGGTTTAGTCTAGCCTTTATACGTGTTGAGTAGGTCTAGGGCCGAGATAACCTTGTCCCGAGCGAATTGGAGAAAATTCACGTCACTGGCGTCGTGGCTAGAGCAAGGCGCCCTCCAGGCACTCCAATATTTTTAGCTACTATTTTTGGCGCCACAGGTAGGGTGGCTCCCAATTTCGCAAGTTTTCTGATTTCGTTCGTTTTGGCTCAAATCTTGCGCGTTTCGCCCCCATTTTCTCCCGAATCATTCCTACACATAAAAACACTTCAAATTAATGTATAAATCATAGCATTTAACATTCTAAATTCACGAAACAAAAGTAAAATATGAGGCGATATACATAGAAATATATATGCTTTAAGCTAAACATCAATGACATAATGGAGCTGTTCCAACTCTCGGAATTGCATTCTGACCCAGATATCACAAAAATCAACTATGGGTCAAACTTCTCAATTTTCCAACATTCGCCGAAAAGCCTCAAATTACCCTACGGGCCTCCAAATCCGAATCTGGATGCATGCCTATGTCCCAAATCACCGCACAAAGCTGTTGAAATCATCCAAAATTCATTTCGGGGTCGTTTACACAAAAGTCAAATTCCAGTCAAATCCTCACTGCTTAAGCTTCCAAAACTAGCTTCCTTCTTCCAATTTGACTCTGAATTATCCAGTAACTGAATTCAACCATGCACGCAAGTCGGTACACATAATATGAATCTGTTCAAGACCTTACGTCGCCGAACAGAACTTAAATTCTCAAAATGACCGGCAGGGTCGTCACATTAATGTTATGTGATTATTGGCCCAAATAGGAGAATGTTAGATTTTTTCTAATTATTTATGTGACCCAATAAACATAAGCCTATAATTAGTATTTAATGAATGACAAATCATGTCCGTTGGATCGGTTACTTGATGGATGTACCCGATAAAGTTAATTATTATATAAATTGGTCATCAAAGTTACCATATTTTATTCTTTTTTCCATCACTAAAGGAGGCAGTAACGAAAGCTAGGTCAAGTCGGGAGAAACCAATTTCAATAAACGCTTCCGCTTTGCGATAATGGCTTCCGCTTCAGGTATGTCTTCTATAACGATTTTATGTAGGATTATCATGTTTAAAATCCTAGTATACGCTAAAGTTTATGTTTACATATGGTATCCGAGCCTAAATATTTGAACTGTTTCACTTTGTGACCTAAATGGGAAAGTGAAGAAAATCAATTTTGGAAAGTCATTGTTGCTCGCAAGTCCTATGTGATGACCCAAGAGGTTATCACTTGTGTTTAAAATGAATTCTACATTCCGAGGCCTTAAAAAAGATCTTTTAGCATCACCTCAATTTGCGTGTGCAATCTGGGCACGTATCCAGAAAGTTTATATGTGAAAATCTGTAAAATAATGATCAAATTTGACTATAAAACGAATAAATTTGACTTCAGTCAACATTTGGGGTAAACGGATCCAGACACATGATTTGACGGTCCCAGAGGATAGTAGGAAAATATGGAACTTGGGCGTATGCCCGGAATCGAATTCCGAGGTCCCAAGCCCGAGAAATAAATTTTTAAAGAAAATTATTTTCTGAAATTGTTTAAAGGATTTTGGAAAGGAATTTTGATTAGAACATGTTGGTAGTGGGCCCATATTTTGGTTCTGGCTCCCGGTACATGTCTTATATGTGGTTTAAGATAATTCTGTAAAGTTTGGTAAGAAACGGAATCCATTTGAAGTGATTCGGACCTTAAATGCAAAATTTGGTGGTTAAAGAAGTTTTGAGAAATTTCATTGATTTTGAGGTTTAATTCGATGTTTATGATGTTATTTTGGTGATTTGATTACACGAATAAGTCCGTAGGATATTTTTGAGGTTATGTGTATATGTTGTTTGGAGCCCCGAGGACTCGGGTGAGATTTGGATTGTCCACGGGATGCATTTTGTACTTAGAAAAATTGCAGGTTTTCATCTAATGTGCACAGGTCTGCAGGCTTCGCAAATGCGAAAATAGGACCTGGGCGGGCCTGATCGCAAATGCGACCACTTGGCTCGTAAATGCGACATTTTTTATCGCAAATGCGAAACTCCAATTTTCCTGAATTTGCGAACCCTACTTCGCATTTCCCCAACCTAGCAGAGGTCGGGGTTCGCAATTGTGAACCCATGTTCGTAATTCCGACATCTGAGACCTGCAACTTTTATATTTAGACAAATTTTAACCCATTTTTCATATTCTCTCAAACATAAATACACTAGGGCGATTTTTCAAAGGCTTCTTCTTCTCCAAATCAGTTGTAAGTTATTTTTAACTAGTTTCCTTCAATCATTAACATCTTTTAACATGATTTCAACTTAAAATCAATCATTTTCGTGGGAGAAATTGGGTGTTTTGGGTAGAACCTAGGTTTTTTAAAACTTGGCGATTTGGACCTCGATTTGATTCTGATTTCAAAACAAATCATTTATTTGGGTTCGTGGGGGAATGGGCAATCGGGTTTTGGTTCAAACCTCGGGTTTTGACCATGTGGGCCCGGGGGAGATTTTTGACTTTTTGGGTAAAACTTTGGAAAATCATTTTCATGCATTGGGGTTGATTCATTTAGCGTTTATTGGTGTAATTAAGTAACTTGTGGCAAGATTCGAGCGAATTGGTGGCGGAATCAAGGGGTAAAGTTGTAATTAAAACGTGAATTGTTATCGTGGCATCGAGGTAAGTGTTTTGTCTAACCTTAGCTTGATGGATTAGGAGTTGTGTCCTATTTCCTACTTGTTTCTTGTTGAGTACGACGTATAGGCATGGTGACGAGTATCTATATGTTGGTGTCGAGCATGACCGTGAGTCTTATATTGTGATTTACATGACTTTGTCGTATTATCCATGCCTTGGTGAAGAGTTCTATTTATTGTGTAAAGTTGTGAAAAGAATTGTGACCTATGAACATGGAGTAGCGTTGGATCAAGTTGTATAACGAAATGCGAAAGTATAAGTGATAATTTAACCTCTAGAGCATTGGCTTGAGTTGTGAAGTGAATTGTGAAGTAAAAGTGAGAAAGAGAAGAGATCATTATGTTGTCACCCTNTTGCCCCCCCCCCCCCCTTGCTGGTCTATTGTTGCTTTATTTGTTTTTTCCATTGTCGGGATGTTGGTGTTATTGATGTTGTTCCCTTGCCGGGATGTTGGTGTTATTGATGTTGTTCCCTTGCCGGGACTTGATTGTTGAG